CCGTGCTTGCAAAATGGGTGTTTGCGGGACTTAAACTTCGCAAGGCAGCTATTTAAACAGCTGATACTTCACAAGGCAGCTATTTAAACAGCCGATCAGCGGTTTGCAACGAGGATTCTTCCCCATTGGAACGCATCGGTCGCAATGAGGATTCTTCCCCATTGGAACGCATTAAACAGGTTTCAATGCATTCCAATGGGGAAATGCTTTTCGCTAGACAATGATTTCGCTAAACAGCGATTTCAGTGGAACGGATTATCATCGTCTAGCGAGGCACCACTGTAAATCAATAAATACAACTTTTTAGATTTAGCATCAAACTCCACTGAAGAACCACCCTTTGGTTGGTTCAACGGGGAATCCACATCATTGACTCTGCCTCCTGGGGGGGGGGGATGGACAAATACCACACCTTCAGACCCCCAGATGGGGAGGCAGTGCCTGGCTTACCCTGATACACACATACCCCTCAGTGGAACAGGTCTGCCTGAAAACAACATAGTTTAATTAAAGAGTTCTCCTTCCGGTGTGGGAAACAGAGGTTGATGCTAGGAAGGGACGAATCTCTCTCCCCATCCTCATCTCGCTCCTCTCCTCAGCTCTTCTCATTCTGTCTGAAGTTCCTCCAGTGTTTGTATAGGGAAGGAAATTTGCAGTGGGTAGGGTGAGACATGATGAGAATGATCAAATGATGCATAGCATGGACCAAGGTGGAGAGAAATAAACATTGCATTTCCCCCTCGGTCAGAATTCATTGTCACCCAATGAATGGGTGATAAATTCTCAGACAGAAGAAAAGAGTACTTGATGCAACATATTATTCATTTGTGGAAATATCAGGGTGAGATGATGGACCATACGTGAAGCCAGAAAGCAAGAGTGGCCATAAAACCAGTCAAGAGCAGGGGGAAAACCAGGAGAAAAGCCACCAAGATGAAGTCATGTCAGATATCCCAATGACCTTGTTGCTACCAGTCCTCTTATATTCCTTCCTGCCAGAGGGGAGCCAATAGCCAGCCTAGATGAGTGGAGTCCGTCCAGGACCAGAACTATCTTTACTAATGGCCTTAAATGATATGGATAACCATGGGCTGTGTCTTGTTGTGCAGGAGCGCCTGTCCAACAGCAGTGACATCACCCACCATGTCACAATGCCACTTTTTTAAAAAAATTCCAGACGCAGATAACTCACCTCCAATAATATGATACCAGGGCACCTTGGAATGGAAAAAGGCAGTCTTTAATTAGTGGCAATCTGCCCTGGCTGATGATGTCACTCCTGTTGTGCAGGTGGGGCTACGAAACAGGATTCTCGCCAATAATAATTAGAGGAGTGGCAACACTTTGAAGATAGATAGCACCATCCTTTTCTATATTTATGTGCACATAACTTAAACAGAGCAGATGCAGTGATCTCAATTAGGTGCCTGTTGTACACCCGGCCACGTTTGCCGGGCACCTCATCGGATTGCAGAAGCAGCTTCCACAGCAGAAGTTGTGAAGCTACACCGAATTATGGGAGTGAACGCCGTCAAAAGGGCAGGAGGTAAAGCCCCCCCCATACATTTTATATAGGGGCTGCCTCTGTTGGAGCTCATAATTCCATGCACTTTTGGGAGCCTTGGGGAATCTCAGTCTTCCCACAGTGCAGCAGGTAAGGGTGGGGGGCATTTTTCCTACCAATGGATGATGCAGGCAGCCCAGGAATGGCAAAGAGGTCAGGGAGCTACTCTACCTTCTGCCCATTTGAGGGATTTCACTTCCATAACTTGGCCTTGGGGGGGGGGGTTTCTTGCTGAATTAGTCCTGTAGAGTTAATTTAAACTAAATTAAAGGAGTAGAAGTCCTTTCATTATTTTTTTTAAAGATCCTTTAAAAAATTTAAGGTCCTTGGGAAAGTGTGAGGGCAAGAGGAGAAGGGGACGACAGAGGACGAGATGGTTGGACAGTGTCATCGAAGCAGCCAACATGAATTTGAAACAACTCCAGGAGGCAGTGGAAGACAGGAGGGCCTGGAGTGCTCTGGTCCATGGGGTCACGGAGAGTCGGACACGACTAAATGACTAAACGACGACAACAAAAATCCCATACTGATGACGACAATCCTCTTTCTCAACACATGCAATGAGGAGAGTTTACCACATGAGGCAGCAACGAGCATCCTTGACTAGTGCTAGATGTGTTGCTAACATCCACTGATGCAACAGCGTCAATGTTTGGGACAAATCCTGCATTTACGGCTTTGTCACTGTTAGACTGCTCTTACAGACCAACATTGCCTCATACACATTTGCCCTTGTCTTAAGGTTTCCAGGTGAAACGCTTCTTAGAAGGCTCCTTAGAGGAAGCACATCTTATTGGTATGCGCAAGACAGCCTTTTTTGGGTGGTGGCTTCAAAACCCTAGAATGCCTTGCTAAGAGAAACCAGGCTGGCCATCTCTCTGTTGCCTCACCGTTAGCAAGTAGAGACTTCTTTTAAAATTATGGCAAGCATATGGTGCATACGCTGTTGTTCTGTCCAAGACTGAAACCCTGTCGTTTCGCATAGTCTGTTGCACTAGAGTAGGCCCATTGAATCAAGTGAGGATTTGGTGAGTCAACTCCTCCATCAGTTCTGTTGATTCCGATGGGCCGACTCTAGCTGTAACTTCCTTTAGCATACTACGTTGCAACTAGAGTAGGTCCATTTCAGTCAAAGGAGAAGTTGACTCATCAAATCCTCAGTGATTCAATAGGTCTACTCGAGTTCAGCTCACCACGCTAAGCAACAGGACTTCAGCCAATGGATGCAACTGCCTACTTTCGTAGTTGTGCTTCCAACTATGTATTCTTTGATAGGTTTTTTAATGCAATGTTTTAATCAGATTTTTTTAAAAATCTGTATTATATAATTTATTACTGTTTTTGGTGGACAGATGGGATATAAATTTAAATCAGCCAGTCTATGTGATGGGCCAAGAGCATGAGTCAGATACCACTGGTTCAAATCTCCCTCTTACTATATGATTTCAGGCAAGTAAAAATGGCTAGGTATCCTTTTCCCCACCTGCAATATGGGGCTAGTAAATTGTGCATGGCATGTGTGTACTCAGGTGAGAACCTCCGGCTTTGACTTGTATGGAGGGACTGAAGGGAAGATGAAGTGGTAACAAGATGGGCAAAATGCACCCTTAAGTTTGGGGCTGTGGTTGCATGTTTATTTCCCTTGCCTTCTTAGTGTGCATGCGTCTTGAAATCCCCATGGCATCAAGGAGCGTGATCGTAGGTCCTGAGATGTTCAGGGTCATCTCCCAGGAACCCCAGTTAGCAAGTTGAGGGATTGTGAGGAACACAAGCAAGCCACATGAAGGGACCCACAGGTTGTGAATCGCTGTCTTAAGCCCACCACCGCATTATTTCCAAGGCATGCAGCGAGAGGGACGATGGCCTTCAGTTGTGAAAGTGATTCTTCAAAAGGATGAAACCACCGAAGGAAAGCAAGGAGGCGGGTGGGTGGATCGATGCCTTCTTGGGGAGGGAAAGCCCTGTTGGGTGTAGTGGGGCTTACTGCCACGTAAAAGCGCTTAGGGCCAGCTTTGTCAATGAAGCCTGGCATTTTCAGCCCATTTCTTGGACAAGCCCAGTAGAGGTTGGTTGGCGGCATCTATTGACCTGGCTTGACTCTTTGGCGCCCTCTGTAGGCGTTTGGGCAACTGGGACAAATGCCCCACTTGCCCTACGCCCTGCCCGGCCCATCCTTGCTCCGGGATGTAGAAGACAGATGGGTTCACTTTGGGCACCGTGCCCCTCCTCTTGGGGAAAACCCCTTTTGCCGGGGGGGGGGCCCCAAGCTGGCCAGCCCGGGTCGAAGCCCCCCCCCAATACAATTCAGAACCAAGTCCTGTGACCCAGAAGGACCAGCCCTTCCTGCTTAGGGCCAGCTTTGTCAATGAAGCCTGGCATTTTCAGCCCATTTCTTGGACAAGCCCAGTAGAGGTTGGTTGGCGGCATCTATTGACCTGGCTTGACTCTTTGGCGCCCTCTGTAGGCGTTTGGGCAACTGGGACAAATGCCCCACTTGCCCTACGCCCTGCCCGGCCCATCCTTGCTCCAGGCTGTAGAAGACAGATGGGTTCACTTTGGGCACCGTGCCCCTCCTCTTGGGGAAAACCCCTTTTGCCGGGGGGGGGGCGGGTTTCCCCCAAGCTGGCCAGCCCAGGACGAAGCCCCCCCCCCAAATACAATTCAGAACCAAGCCCTGTGACCCAGAAGGACCAGCCCTTCCT